AAATTTCATTTCTTTCAGTTACAAGCAAAAATCCCAAGAGTAATTTCTAAATAGAAACAAAATTAAAGAAATTTATACAGACATATTATCCCAAGGTCCTTACCAACATTTGAAGTATCAGTTAATCTATCGTTATTCAATACCTGTCTACTTTTTTTCTATAACAGTAAAATCCATAAACATTATCATATAATCCCAGTCCAAAAATAAATTCCAGTATTACCAATCCAAAATCATAATTTGTACATTTTAACCTTGGTCCCATACGTCCACTTTAAAACATCTCCAGTTGGGGGAGATGGGCGGCATACAAATTTAATAATAAATACATAAAAAATAAATAAATAAATTCCTTTTTCTTCTTTACAGGGAGCCTGACATTTAATCTTTTCTTCAAGTGAAATCTCAAGTAAAAAAAAGTCACTTTGTCCTTTTTTTACTATCAAAGACACCTTCAAAGGTTTAATAAGTCCTTCCTGAGCATCCAAAAGAGAAAAATCTCCAACTCTTCTGCTTTTTGATCTGGATAGTCAAAAAAAAATTATGTTGTACATTTGGGCTTTATAAAGAACTCATTATCTCCAGGCTGAAGATAAACTAAATCATCCAGGCCTCCATCCAAATCCAGATCTCTTATTTCATTTCCTGTTCTGAAGATTGTCTTACTTCACAACTTATAACATTGTCAATATTCTTATTTTCAATATCCAATTTTGTTTGCAAGTCAATATCACTATCAAATCTGATTTTTTTTCTCAAAGGCTTCAAATTTAGTTTCTGTCACTTGTAGAATTCTAGTAGTGAGATCTTCCAATAAATGTGTAAGTGTCTCTTTAAATTCCCTTTGCTGCACTGCAGCCACGACAAGCCTTGCACACAGGAAAAAAAATGGGTAAAAAGCAAGGCCTCAGAGTACTTTTGTGTACAAAGCTCCTCCAGTCAGCATTGCAGCAAAGAAAGAAAAAAAGCACCTTTCCCACAGAAATCTTTAACCCACAATCTCAAGCTCCCATCTCACAAGTACAGATTCAACAAAATTAACTTTTTTAAAATCCAAAAAAAATTCACTTGTTGCATAAAAACACCCAGTAATTCAGTCCTTCGACTCTTTGCTCAATATATAAATCATGGACTGGTTCTGTTTGATTTTAACAACAGTCCCATATAGTAGGACAGCCTGGGAAATAGTTCCTGACAATTTGAGCCAAAAATGGAAAAGATGCCTTTTCCCAAATATACCCACCCAAATCTTAAATTCTTCAGAAATTTTGCTTGGAATCCCTCTGCCAAACGAGGCAAGACAGAAAATGATTAGTGAAAATGCTGGGAGGTTATTTTGCACAGGATTAAAGTAACTCTAACACACTTTCCCAGCAAAGCTAAAACTGCCAGCTCAACCATAAAACGTTTAGAAAGCCAAGGAATGCCAATAAGGGGGAAAAGATACTGGGAGGAAAGCAGAGCTCTGAGGAAACACAAGAAAGTAACTCCCTGGAAACAATTATGCTCACGGAATAACTCCCACCTTGTTGTTTCAAACCTTCCTTCTTTGTAGTTTCGCTCTAATACAGTGTTTCTCAACCTTGGCAACTACCATGCATGGACTTCAATTCCCAGAATTCCCTAGCCAGAATTCTGGGAGTTGAAGTCCACACATCTTAAAGTTGCCAAGGCTGAGAAACACTGCTCTACTACCTCAGCATTACGCCTTAATTGCCTCCCTGACTTCACTAGACACACAACTGAATGTAATCAAGTCTCTTGCTGCTGTATCGAATCCCATGTATTTTAAGTGGTGTGAACTCCATGTATACTCTAATTTGCATACATCTATTAAGAGGGAAGAGATCATCCTCTTTAGGCTGGTTTTTGCCTCCAGTGCTGTCGGTAAACCAACATGTGCTTCGGTGCAATGTGTCTTGGTCTGCAGTTGAGAAATCCTGGGAAAATTCTCCTACAATAACAAAGCCTAGAAGGTTGGTTAGTTGTCTAGACCAGTGTTTCCCAATCTCAGCAACTTTAGGTGGTGTGAACTTTAACTCCCAGAATTCCCCCTGCTGGGAGTTGAAGTTCACACCACTTAAAATGGCTGAGGTTGAGAAACACTTGGTCCACACTTTAAAAATGGCAGGTTTTCTCAGTTATGGGGAGAGGGAGAGGAGAAAGGAGAAAGGAGAAAGGGATTGTGGGACAAGAAATGGAAGGGATGAATGCCTTGAAAAAAATCAGACTGAGAACAGATGTGAATGTAGAAACAAGAAAATGAAGGATTCCTGTGCAAGAAAAAGAAGCAAAAGGGTAGAGTTCCTTGGCAAAATGTTACATCAGTGGCCCCTAGGGGCCAATTGATTATAAACTGCAGAAAATCTATGCATCCAAATGTTGAATTTTCCCATAGAAAGGACTTTTTCACAGCAATGCTCTGGTTTTGAAACAGCCTTCACCAGCACCTTTTGACTTTTTGGTGTCGGCAGCAAACTTTTTTTATTCACCCAAATGTGACTTTCAAATTACCTCTCAATTTGAAATTGATATTTCACTAATTACACATTAGCAATTTGTTTTAATACATAAACCTGTAACCTATTTTAATATTGTGTTTGTTTTGTTTTGTGATCCTCTCAGATATAGTTATAGCAATGGAGGAAAGGAATATTTTTTTAAAATTAAGTGTATGCATCATAGCACTTCTCTCAATCAAATCTTGGGGGGGGGGGGG